AAAAAAAAAAAAAAAAGAAACCATATATAGTAAAATATTTTAATATGAATAAGAAATTTCTTCTTGCAAAGGGCGACTACAGTGATGGAGTCCTTAATTTTCATTGAAGTAATTCAATCTAAGTGAGATTAAAATCAAAAGAACTTTGAATTTTTTTTCTAACTCATAAGAATTAAGAAAAAAATGCAAATAAAGTTAAAAAGAGGGGCAAGGTAGAATTTTGTATACCAAGCATATAAAACTGTATTATATTCGATGCAGCCACTGTGCAAAACACAAAATTCTAACTAAAAAGGATATTTTTAAGTTAGTTCAAAAATTCAAAGCACCTTTTCTTAACTTTAAGTAGGCAAAATAATAAAAATTAATTTAAATTTATATTTAACATAAGTTAGATTTATGTAACTTTTATAAAAGTTGGTGGATTTATTACTATGGCAAACCTTTGTAAGGTATTTTAAAATTAACAATAAATAAAATAAAATTTGAATACAAAAAATATTATGTTTTTTAACTACCAGCAGCCTATGAAAGATAAGGTGTCGGGACAATTTTTTTTTTTTTTTTAATTTATAGAATGTAACATAAGCTTTAATTTAGCATATGTTTGAAGTACGGATTATTTTTGTAACATTTTTAAAAGATAAGTTGAAAAAGTTTTACTTTTTAATCATATTTTAAAAGTTTTTAACCACCCCTTTGTATAAAGGAAAATGGTTTGATATAAAAAAATGGTATGTCAAATGAAAGGTGTAAAAAAAAAAAAAATACAGGGTATGTCTAGAAAATAATGGAATTTTTCTTAATTTTTCGGGTTTGGAGAGTCTGATTATCAAAATTTTTTTCATAAGGTTGGTATATACATTCCTGAAGTATGATAAAGCTTTCAGCTAGATTTATTTTTTATTTTGTCAGTGGCAATCGCTAAGGTTAGATGTGATTTATGATCTCGGCTATTTTCTTTGTTGAAAAAATAAATTAAAGAATTTGTATCAAATTTTGCCTAAAAAATGAAATTAAGTGTAACAAAAGAGTGAGATGTTAACAATGGTGAGTCTTTCATTAGTAAAACAAGGGTATACAAGTCGTATTGTATTTTAATTAAAAGAAATTATTTTAATAGCTTCAAAAATAACTAAGCTATAAGATTATTAAAAAATATTTTACTAATTTTTTAAAATTATTTCTCTACAGTTAATTTTTGGATTAATTTGTAATTGCACATGTAATTTTAGACAAAAATATTAATAATATGCTAATAATCTAACATTAACTGTAGAAATAATTTTAAGTTATTTAGTTATTAAGTTTTTTAGTTTATAATAGAAAGATTATTGGCGATTACAGTACCTATCAAAATTACATAGATGAAAATCATTGACAGGATCTTTAACTACTAAATCTTTGTCAAGCTTTTCAAAGAAATCTGCATCTTCTTCTGATATTTGATTAACTGTATCTGAATAAAATAATTGTTCAATATATAATACAAATTGTTTACTAGTGACTAATATGAATGTGTTAAAGCTTTCATGGATTGTCTTGTTGCTTGAAGTGCTTGAGGATATATCCATGTTTGCAGTTGAGTTCTGACGTTTCGGACTCAACTGCAAACATGAATATATTCTCAAGCACTTCAAGCTAGTGACTAATATTTTTTAATTAAAAATATAAAAAATATTTAACTTATAAAGTCATAAAAATTAATAATGTGTATACATATTTCGGGAACAATGTTACCAATATGTGTTCCATATATTTTGTTCAAAGTAGTATATGTAGTTAGAAACATCTAAGGAGTACAAATTAGAATTTAATTTCAATTTTTCTATACAAAGAACTTCAATTTAAGATACCATCAAATAAATCAAATATCTAGCAATTAATTGGTTAGTTAATTTAAAATTAAAATAATTTAAAAGTTTACCATCATTTAAGTCATCATTGTTAATATCTGTTGAGTCATTTGCTTTTTTTCCCATATTTTGTTCATCATCAGTTGTATCTAAAGGTGCTATGTTAGCTAACCTCATTGAACGTCTAGTCGGTGTTGTTCTAGAAAAAGTTATACATATACAGTGGATTCCGCCTAATGTGGGCACCGGTTAATAAGGGCATCCGCTAAATATGGGCATAATGGTCTGGTCCAATCCCAATGTATACCAACGTGGGTAAAAAAAATCGCATAATATGGGCATTTGGTTCGGTTTATGTGAGCAATTTTTATTTTATTATAGGGTTAGAATATACATATATGTATGTTAAAACGACTAATTTAATCCGGTTTCGTAATATCTATGACATTATGTTTATCGAAAGTAATAACCTTAGATATGGGTATTATAAAAAACCTTAAGGTGAAGTATAGAATAAAGCTGATTAATTTTATTCTTGAAAAATTGAGGAAAAACTTTTTGATTCATCTGCAACTGCTAATCAAATAAGTGGTAAAATAAACTTATTGCAAGCCATGCAGTTTGTATCCGAGAGTTGGCGAGAAGTCAGCTGCACAACCATTATGAATTGTTTCGCTNAGCACAACCATTATGAATTGTTTCGGTCATTGTGGGTTTTCTAATTTTGTTGGTCAACAACCTGAGTTGACTGAATTGAATGAACAATTTTTACTTATTCAAAACCACAGCGAGTTTGAAAACATTGATGAAAATGCTCCTTGTTTTGATAATAATGAAGACAATAATAATATTCAATAGGACGAAATGTTCTTAAAAAAAGGAAGTTTGAAGAAGAAGAAGAAGAAGAAGACGACGAAGAAGAAGAAGACGATACTGAACCACCAGTTACAATTAGAGAGGCTAAAAAATGCAATGATTTGTTGCAGAAGTTCTTTATGCAAGAGGGTAACGACGGTAGTCAATTTTTTTCAATTGTATGATTAACGTGTGTAAAATAAATTTTTTTTGATATCATTAAAATTTTTTTAACTAATTTCGGTTTTTATGGGCAACTGCTTAATGTGGGCAAACAATTCTGGTCCCAACGTGCCCATATTAAGCGGAATCCACTGTATTTATTTATTTATAATATTATAAATATAAGTTAAAAAAATTCCTATAAATATAATAAATTACTAGTGTATAACTTACCCATATAAAGGTTTAGAAAAAGTAATTTTTTTAACAATTTTTATTGGTTTCAATGGTTTTACTTTATGAAGACTACTGGCTAATGCTATTGCAGCTTGATTTACTCCCATTACTCTAAAAACATGATAAATAATATTTATATTTTATTATTAATAAGTAATAGAGTTAAATAACTGATTAAATACATTATGATACTAAGTTGATATGTGATTAAAACTAACACTAGGAATTAGCTGTACAGATTAATAATAATAATAATTATATTCCTGTGTTTCATTAAATAACGGTTACTTTACATATTCTATTTATTATTAATTGGAATTTTATTTTACTTTTATTTATGTATAACCATTGATGGACGGGTCAAGAGGTAAAGGAACAATTGTTCTCTAAGGTGCTGTAATAATACTATCAGTCACTCCGAATAGCATAATTAGGCTTGTGAAATTGATTTTTGACCTTACTTTCTGTTTTAATTCAATTTTTTTTTTTGTATTGAGCATTATTACAATTATTTTGCGCCTTGTGCCATTGGCCTCCCAATATGTGTCTGCGTTTAACGACTCTCCAAATCTATTGCTTATATTAGAAAGGGGGAAAACCTATGTAGCAGATATAGATAATTTTATAATTTTTAATAGTAAAACAGACAACTAAATAATAAGTAATTTATAAAGTACTTTTGAAAATCAAATGGAACGCTATGATTATTTTTATACAAAAAGAGAAGAGACAAATATGTTGATTGAAAATTGTTAATAACATTTAATCGTAACAAAAAAATATGGAAAAAATAATTTTATGTTACATACTTAACTAGTTTATGTATAGGTGTACAGTAAGTCAGGAAATGGTTTTCATTATNTTAACTAGTTTATATATAGGTGTACAGTAAGTCAGGAAATGGTTTTCATTATTCATTACAGTTGATCTGTTTTCTTACTTTTTGAATACCTTTTATAACATTTACATTAACTCAATCAAATTTTATTAAATTATGATTGTAAAAAAAATAAATTTTTAAAATAATTTCTACTTTATAACATTGGTCAACACAAATTTTGAATCTAAATTTTTAATATTGGATCCTAATTGCTTTAACATCACAAATGATTAAAGAAAACATCACACTTGAAAAATATTGGTTTTGTGACTAAAGTAATGAAATAACAATTTCATAAAAATTTCTTTTTTTTTAATTTGTTNTGAAATAACAATTTCATAAAAGTTTCTTTTTTTTTAATTTGTTAATTGAAAAATAATTTTTTACAGTTTTAAAAAAATATACTTTGTAAAAAGTATAAAAAAATTAATTAATAATAATAAAATAATGTTGGGTTTTTATTATAATTGTATGGTATTATTGGATCAGTTCTTAGATTTAAAAAATACTAAATTCCATTCATTATATCGAATTTGATAATAAATGAAAAAGTTCATCACAACATTATAAGTTATTAAGTAAGTGTTGTTAAAGATGCGTTTCTAAATGATTCAAACCCATTTTAGGCAACCAGTTCCATTACGTCTTAACGGAATTGTGACATGAATTATGGGAGAAAATAGGTTTAAAAGCTTCAAAAAAATATTTTTTTTATATTTATAAATCAATTCTAGAACTATTCATGCATTTCTCTTGAAAATTTTAAAGTAAAATTCTAAGTTGTTTAAAAGTTATAGGCATTTGAGTGAGTGTTTTTTAGTTGACTAGCGTGCGAGACGTAATATGGAGTGGTCCTGTAATATAGACCTGAAAGGCATTAGAGAGAAAGAAAAACATTAGCAAACTGCAATATGGTGCTAGAATAGCTGATTAATTAGTAAATTATTTAAATTGACTCATTACAGCTTTAAATCTAGCTTCACTAGTACTCTTATTTTCAAACCCATTTTTCTCGTTACTACCTTTTTCAAATCTGTGTACTTTCTAGTCCCAGAGTTTTTGATAAATTCTTATCAAACTTAGTACATATTTTTTATATATATATTTATTTGAACTACAGTTATAAACAATATCATTATTTTTATTACAAACAAAAAGATAAAAAAAAGGTCAAAGTTGAACTTAATTTTCACATTCTAAAAAATAATATAAATTTAAAGTTGTGACACTACCAGAACATTTTTAAAAATTGAGTTGAAAAAAAAAATTTATATGTGTAGGGGGTCTCTTTAAACTCTTCCGTTGCTTTAGTTTATCATTGGGTTTATTAAATAAAGCATACTAAAAAAAAGCTTACTGTTTTTAATATAATCTATGAAAATTTCATTAGATTCAGTATTTAAAAAAAAAATTAGAGCAGTTTTAATTTGCAAAAAAGAAATTTGGGAAAGCCCTTTTTATGATATTGTAATTTTGAGATATTTTTCTAAATTTCTAAAATGGAGAATTTTTTTTCAGCTTTTATAAAATTTATTGCTAATTATAAAAGTTGTATTATAATGATAAATTTAATATGAATAAACACATTTTAATATACATTTGAATCTCACACTTTAAGATAATATACATATATATACTCCCTATATAATAATTTAATAGGCTTATCAATTATGTAACATACCAAAAAATACTCCATGATACAGTTATAAAAAACCTATGTATTTACAGAATTATTTAAAAAGCAAAACAAAAATTTTTCCAAAATGATTGGGAAATTAAAGCTTTTGAGGCTTATGAAAACAAATTATCATTAAAATACAAATTAAAAAAAAAAATTAATTAACACATAAATTTATCTTGAACCTCTATATAATACCTAAAAAGAAGGATGTTTGATGTTATTTCTATCTTTACAGAATACTTATTAAGGGTAAAAACAGTGTCACAAAACTAATTACCTAGCGTTTTTCAGAAAATATAAAGTATTTTTTATTTGAAGATTTATGATTTTTTTCTGTTGATTCCTTTTACTTACTCAAACATGTCTATATTTTCTTTCATTCTTTTTTCTCTGAGTTGTTCATATGTTAAATTTTCATCATCATCGTCATGATCATCACTAAATATCGTATCAACTTTAGCTTTCTTGGGTGGTGATACATCATGGCTACCACATTTCATTGTTCTATAAAAATAAATGGGCAAAATTCGATTAAAAATATTACGATGCAACACTATTTTAAATTTTATTTCATATATTTAAAATATTGTGATACTAGTTATTAAATAATAGCGTATATAGTCACAATACTATAATTAACATAGTATGNATAGTGTATATAGTCACAATACTATAATTAACATAGTATGTTTTTCAAGCTTAATGCTAAACAAGTAATATTATTTTATTTTTTACTACAATAATGAAAATATAACATATTTTAATACTTTTATGAGTATATTGAAATTTACCTATTTGATCTCCTCGACATTTTAGAAAATAAAAAATATAATTTAAAGAAAAAATTATAACGAAGTAATTAATATATTTTATAAAATAAATAATTTATTTAGAGAAATAAATTATATTTAAAAAACAGACAAATAAATTACAATTTTTTTTTAATAATCAAAAAAGGAGTTTTATAAATACAGATATATAATAAAACGTTTTATTGTATATCTGTGTGTATAACCTAGTATAATTATTAAAAAAAACGCGCGAAATGTGATAGTTTTATTATCTCAATCTTTCTCCGTCAATATTTCGGATCTTTATCAGGAATGTATGAAGCGTGTTTTCAGGTTGGTTTGGTCGTGTAGATATCCAGTTAAGATTCATGATGTATGAAAATTTATAAAAGTAATGTGTGATTTCATCCGTGTATTTCTAAAGTTAACTTAGCTTTAAACTATATTACTATTTAATTATAAACTATTATATTGTTCAAATTAATAAAAGTTATATTTATTAGACTAATTATGGTAAGTATTATTTTTTCTGTTTTAGAAAAAAAGTGACATGAAGCAGTAGTATTTATCACGTTTTTGTGCAATTTTCTTTTAAACAAAATTGAAAAATAATTGTGTAGTTAAATTTTTTAATATTAGCAATATTAAAAATGAATGAGCAATAATTGGGCAACTATAGACTCAAAATATGTTTGACTTTAGACTCTATAATGTTGGGTGCTTTGTGTCTTAGATTTGATCTCAAAAATGTTGTTATTTTAAGTTATTATTTAAAAAAAAATACATTAGTTAACAGTAACTATTTTTGACTGATTAATTTGGATAAAATGAGTACAGAACTATTTTAATGTATGAAAAATTTTATATTAATCTTTGTTAAATCATGAAAAATTCATATTGTCATTCAATTTTAATATGTCTTCAGGTTTTGTAATGGTAAATATTTTAAAGAAATTTTGGCCATACTATATTACTTCAACTAGTATCGTTTTATATTTGATAAAGTAAGCAAACTGATATTAATATTTGACATATTATAAAAATAAAATAATTTTGAATATTTGTCTATTTTAGAAACAAATGTTTGTATACAACAATTTTTAATATTTTTCAGACGTTATTTTGTTGGTGGTGTTTGTAAATGTACAACAAACTTGACTGGTAAAGTTGTTATTGTAACTGGTGCTACAAAAGGAATTGGAAAAGAAGTTGCATCTGTGTTAGCAGAAAGAGGTATTTTATTTTTCACAAATTGGTTTATAAATTTGATATAATTGTGTGCATTTAAAAAGAATGTTAAATTAATAATTGTGCACAAAAAATATGAATTAATATGGAAATTACTAAAGTTCTAGATAATAAAAAGCTAATGATTTTTTTAAATTATTTGACATGAATATATTGTGATATATTATGACTTAGGGTTGATTTGAATTTCACAAATACGTGAGATTTTTGCTTCAGCATAACGATTTATACCTAGTAAAAACTGTCAGTGAACATAAATGAACTAAACTAAAGTTTAAGAAAATTAAAAAACATTCCAGTTTTAATTTAAATGAATTCAAAGATAGTGAAAGCTAAAATTAAGGAATAAAATAAGTGTAAAGTATTAAGATAATTCTTAATAATAAATATTAAATAATTTATATATTTATATTTTCTTAGAAACTTATTGATTGAATAATAATTAAAAAGTCTAACTATTAAAATAGATAGACCTATATGATATTAGCAAGAAATTTTAGAGGTTTTCTAATTGCATAAGGTTTTATGCAATTATTGAACATGCATTTTAGAAAATTATTTTTTAAGAATTTTTAGAAAAGTGATTTTGGAGCCATAATATTTTTATTTTAATAGTAATTAAAAGTAAAAATTTTACAGTATTAAACCAAAACGATGTTCTGCACAATTACATATTATAGGTGTTTTCATTTTTTAAATAAATTTAAACATACCCTTGAATTAAAGTATATATTTGTATTCTTGCATTTTCTTAGGTGCTCACATTATTATTGCAAGTCGAGATATAATAAGAGGTCCAGAAGTGTGCTTTGAAATATTAAAATTGACTGGGAATCCAAATATTAGCTTTTACTATTTGGATTTTACTTCATTCAAAAGTGTTCAAGATTTTTCAAGAATTATTCATAATCGTAAGCCAATTTTGTAGATTTCTGTACATTTTCTATCCAAACATTTTTATTATATTCTTTCATAATGTATCAACCTGTTAATTATGAAAATGAAATCGCTCATCATCCTGTTAAAGATTTAACACTTCCTCCAGCCCTTGAGGAGGCATTAAATTATAAAGAAGAAAGATCCAAAGAAGTAGCTGCTAATGAACCCCTGCATCTTACATTAGGCATATTATCTGAAGATAATCATAAAAACTTACAAAATATAGTTAAGGAAAATGTAAAAGTAGTTGATAATAATGATGATGAAAATTCACAACAAGAAACATTAAAATTATCATCAATAGACCGAAAAGTAGCTAAAAGAAAAAAAAAGAAGTTGAAAAAGAAGAAGAAGAAACAGTTGAAAATTGAGTTAAAAGAAAATAGTGATACATTGGCATTATCGGATAAAAAAAATATATTGCAGGCAATAGATATAGAAGTAGAATATATACAAGAAACATTAAGTATTTTTAATCTTGTGCCTATGTACCGACAATATGCTAAAGTTTTTGAAAATTTTAAAATTCCTGAGCCAGATTTAAAATCTGCTGATAATGTCAATAATTCAGAATTAACCATTCCTAATCTTGATCTAAAAAAAGNAAGATTTTTCAAGAATTATTCATAATCGTAAGCCAATTTTGTAGATTTCTGTACATTTTCTCTCCAAACTTTTTTATTATATTCATTCATAATGTATCAACTTGTTAATTATGAAAATGAAATCGCTCATCATCCTGTTAAAGATTTAACACTTCCTCCAGCCCTTGAGGAGGCATTAAATTATAAAGAAGAAAGATCCAAAGAAGTAGCTGCTAATGAACCCCTGCATCTCACATTAGGTATATTATCTGAAGATAATCATAAAAACTTACAAAATATAGTTAAGGAAAATGTAAAAGTAGTTGATAATAATGATGATGAAAATTCACAACAAGAAACATTAAAATTATCATCAATAGACCGAAAAGTAGCTAAAAGAAAAAAAAAGAAGTTGAAAAAGAAGAAGAAGAAACAGTTGAAAATTGAGTTAAAAGAAAATAGTGATACATTGGCATCATCAGATAAAAAAAATATATTGCAGGCAATAGATATAGAAGTAGAATATATACAAGAAACATTAAGTATTTTTAATCTTGTGCCTATGTACCGACAATATGCTAAAGTTTTTGAAAATTTTAAAATTCCTGAGCCAGATTTAAAATCTGCTGATAATGTCAATAATTCGGAATTAACCATTCCTAATCTTGATCTAAAAAAAGTGCCTAAATTGCTTGAACAAGAAGATGAAGATGATGATGAAAAAGAAAAAANCACATTAGGTATATTATCTGAAGATAATCATAAAAACTTACAAAATATAGTTAAGGAAAATGTAAAAGTAGTTGATAATAATGATGATGAAAATTCACAACAAGAAACATTAAAATTATCATCAATAGACCGAAAAGTAGCTAAAAGAAAAAAAAAGAAGTTGAAAAAGAAGAAGAAGAAACAGTTGAAAATTGAGTTAAAAGAAAATAGTGATACATTGGCATCATCAGATAAAAAAAATATATTGCAGGCAATAGATATAGAAGTAGAATATATACAAGAAACATTAAGTATTTTTAATCTTGTGCCTATGTACCGACAATATGCTAAAGTTTTTGAAAATTTTAAAATTCCTGAGCCAGATTTAAAATCTGCTGATAATGTCAATAATTCGGAATTAACCATTCCTAATCTTGATCTAAAAAAAGTGCCTAAATTGCTTGAACAAGAAGATGAAGATGATGATGAAAAAGAAAAAAACGGTGAAGTTCATCCCAAAAACTCTGATAAGTTGTCAAGAAGGCAATTTAAAAAAGTAACACGTTTAAGTGTTGCTGAGTTGAAACAGCTAGTGTCACGACCAGATGTAGTTGAAATGCATGATGTTACTGCAAGAGACCCTCATCTTTTAATACAGTTAAAAGCTCATCGTAATACAGTACCTGTACCAAGGCATTGGTGTTTTAAACGTAAATATTTACAAGGTAAACGTGGTATTGAAAAATCCCCATTTGATTTACCTGATTTTATAAAGCGTACTGGTATTATGGAGATGAGAGCAGCTCACCAAGAAAAAGAAGATGAAAAGTCCCTAAAAAATAAAATGAGAGAAAGAGTTAGACCTAAGATGGGAAAAATTGATATAGATTATAAGAAATTACATGATGCATTTTTTAAATTACAAACCAAACCAAAATTATCTTTACATGGTGACTTATATTATGAAGGCAAAGAATTTGAAACTAAACTTAGAGAAAAGAAACCAGGTGATTTAAGTGCTGAATTACGTACTGCATTGGGTATGCCAGTTGGTCATAATGCACAAAAAGTTCCTCCACCATGGTTAATTGCAATGCAACGGTATGGACCACCTCCTTCTTATCCTGCACTTAGAATACCGGGTCTTAATGCTCCAATTCCAGAAGGATGTTCTTTTGGTTATCATGCAGGTGGCTGGGGTAAGCCTCCTGTTGATGAAAGGGGCCGTCCTCTTTATGGAAATGTCTTTGGGACTCCTTCTGATTATGATGAATCACATGTGGTTGAAGAACATATTGATAAATCAATGTGGGGAGAACCTGATTCAGAGTCAGATGTTGAAGAAAGTGAAGAAGAAGAAGAAGAAAATGTGGAAGAAATTAAAGAAGCTGAAGAAGTATCTATTGATGCAAGTGGTATTGCTACTCCAGTNTCGGGTCTTAATGCTCCAATTCCAGAAGGATGCTCTTTTGGTTATCATGCAGGTGGCTGGGGTAAGCCTCCTGTTGATGAAAGGGGTCGTCCTCTTTATGGAAATGTCTTTGGGACTCCTTCTGATTATGATGAATCACTTGTGGTTGAAGAACATATTGATAAATCAATGTGGGGAGAACCTGAATCAGAGTCAGATGTTGAAGAAAGTGAAGAAGAAGAAGAAGAAGAAAATGTGGAAGAAATTAAAGAAGCTGAAGAAGTATCTATTGATGCAAGTGGTATTGCTACTCCAGTTGCTGAAGGTTTAGCAACACCTTCAGGTATTATGTCTGGACTACCAAGTGGCTACGAAACTCCTGAGTACATTGAATTACGAAAACGAAAAATAGAAGCTGAAATGGAATCAAATGACCAACAACCCTTATATCATGTATTACCTGAAAAAAAGGTAGACACAGTTCGTGGTTCAATGATGGCTTCTACTCATATGTACGATATACCAGCTACTGTTACTAATAAACCTGGAGAAGTTGAAGTCAGCTTAGATCCTTCTGAATTAGAATTAGCAGGAGATGTTGAAGCTATGGCTGCTAGATATGAGCAAAGAATGAAAGACCAACAGGGCAATGAAAATGATACTAAAGAGTTTGAAAAGAAAAAAGGACAAAAACGTAAAACGTCTCAAGAATCAAAAACTAGCAAAAAATATAAAGATTTCAAGTNCTACCAAGTGGCTACGAAACTCCTGAGTACATTGAATTACGAAAACGAAAAATAGAAGCTGAAATGGAATCAAGTGACCAACAACCCCTATATCATGTATTACCTGAAAAAAAGGTAGACACAGTTCGTGGTTCAATGATGGCTTCTACTCATATGTACGATATACCAGCTACTGTTACTAATAAACCTGGAGAAGTTGAAGTCAGCTTAGATCCTTCTGAATTAGAATTAGCAGGAGATGTTGAAGCTATGGCTGCTAGATATGAGCAAACAATGAAAGACCAACAGGGCAATGAAAATGATAGTAAAGAGTTTGAAAAGAAAAAAGGACAAAAACGTAAAACGTCTCAAGAATCAAAAACTAGCAAAAAATATAAAGATTTCAAGTTTTAAAAAAAAAAATGCGTTCTGTGTAATAAGTATCTATTGTTTTGGGAANGTTTTAAAAAAAAAATGCGTTCTGTATAATAAGTATCTATTGTTTTGGGAATTTGGACATATTATTTTGATTTAAAAAAAAAGAATTATTTAAGGTTTATTTTTGTTTATAGTGTTTCAATAATTAACTACAATGATTATAAAATTATGTGTATTATTTGATTAATTAATATATAATTTGAGTAAAATGCAATATCATCTTCATATTCTTATTAATATGTATGAAATTTTAAATTGTGTAGTTATTTTGTTACATAGTTATAAGATAGTGTTGTATTTTATTATTTTTAGGGTATGGTAATATTTATGCATTGGTAAATAATGCTGCGATTTTTTACAATTCATTTAATGAGACGGAAGATGGTTTTGATGTGACATTTCAAACAAATTATTTAGGCAAGCGTTATAATTTATTTATATAATAATATGTATATAAATATATATATATGTATTAAAATATAATGGAAAAAAATTGAAATACAAATTGATGTAATAGGAATAATTTTGTATAGGTCCATTTCTCCTAACACACTTGTTGTTAGATTTGATCAGTGGTCGTATAGTTAATGTTTCATCTGAATCACATCGCTATGTACAATCATTAAATCCAAGACGTGTTAATGAACTTGGTTTAGAGACAAACGATCGTTTTCTAGCATATAGTGCATCAAAAGCATGCTTACAACTTTTTACTTACAAGTTGTCTCAAATATTATCTGGTAAGAAAAAATTGTTTTTAAACGCTGAAAGAAAATTTACAGTGGTAAATTTTTACAGATTCTAATGTGACAGTAAATGATGCTAATCCTGGAAATGTAAGAACACAAATACTTGATAATTACTTCAAAACATATGTGCCACTATTTTTAATACTGCAGGAACCATTACGTTGGTTACTCTTAAAATCTCCTAGACAAGGTTCTCAAACAATAGTACATTTGGTCTTATGTACAAATTTAGAAAGATCAACTGGAAAATATTTCTCGTTAGTATTACTATTAAATTAAAAAATAAAAAATGTATTAAGATGATAAATAAAACTCATCTAAATCTATTATTTCAAAATGTTTGAGTAAGTTCTTTGTTAATTTTAGTGATTGTATTGTAAGGAAACCATCATCTTTAACTCGTAATCAAGAACTTGCTGAACAATTGTGGATAAGTAGTGTAGCTTGGATTAATAAATGATGAAGAAAATACCAATATTTGACATTCATTATCAACAAACTGTTGGTGAATGTTCTAATGTTTTCAAACCTCTTATTGGGGATGTATGCCAAATTTCAGTTGACAATGTTGAAATATTATCAGACTTTGATAATTCAAAAGTGTTTATAGGAAAAACTGAAACTGACATAAAGTTAGGAGAATCAGATTGTATATTAGATAGAGGAGTAGAAGAAATTTTATTGTCTATGTGCATAGAAGAATGTAAAAAATTTGTCTTGGGAGATGGCAATAAAGCTTGTGTATCAGGGATTATAAAACTCTTAGATGTAAAAAAAATAAAGTTTCCATGTACTGATAAAGATCGAATATTGGAAGCAGAACATCATAAAAAAGTAGGAAATGATTTATTTAAACAAAAACGTTATATTGATGCTTTTCATCGTTTCAATAAATCTATAAGATATATAATATTTTTACAAAATCATGAAAAATTTTTATCTGAACGAAATTTATTATACTCTAATTTGTGTAATAATATGGCGGCTTGTCAAATAGAGTTTTGCAATTATGAGTATGCCAAAGATTTATTGGATAAAGTTTTACATGTAAACAGTGATAATATCAAAGCATTAATGCGAAGATGTCAAGTTTCTGCAGAGTTAAAAATGTTTGATAGAACATTGGAAGATGCTAGAAATTTGTTAACTAAAGAACCTAATAATAGTATTGGAAAAAAATATGAAATATTGGCTCTTAAAGAATTAGAAATACAAAATATTAAGTATAAAAATATGGTTAAAAAGATGTTTTGCTAATGAATATAATATTTACTTTTTATTAAAACTATATTTGTTATAATTATATTAATTTTAAGATTATTATTTATTTTTATAATAAATACTATTTTTTTAAAAAGATTGAAGTCAATATTAAAAGTAGTACATGCATTTGATTTTACTCTGGTGATCAAATAAGGCATTAAATTCAAAATTTAATACAGACATATTCTAGTTTTAATTGACATTTTTAAACAAAAATAGTAAATTTATATAACAGTCAATATAAAATACTTACAAGTTGCAAAAACTGTTGTACACTAATTTATGGGATAATTATTTTATATACAAATATTTAAACTAATAAAATGTGTAACAATCTATTTTTCATACATTTTTACTGAGTATTAAAGTTAAAATAAATTCCTCGAATGCATTATGAAAGCTTACAAATATTTATTTCTTAAATTAACTTTTTATGGCACAAAAAGTTAGAAGTCCCACCTAAAAGACATTTAGTAAAATTAGTTTCTCATCATGAAGAAAAACTAAAATAATTTACTCAATTACTAATGTTATAAGATATATTTTGATTGACAAATATGTACAGTTATGTAAAAATATACTTAAATAAAGTTTTAGGAAAATTTTCCTATTTCTATTTCAATATTTCTGTAAAACATCATAAATTATATACCTATATTATTAAAGCAAAAAATGATAATTTGACAAATTAAAAAAAATGTTATTGTCAATAAGGGGTTGACATTAAGTGTTTATTATTAAAACAATTAGAATTTTTAGAGTTAAATTAATTTATGTATTTATCAGTTGAATAATTCATTTTAATCTTTTATCAAACTATTATTACATCAATTGTTTGCTTAAAGTAACCAGTATAAACAAATATTGTTTAAATGACATAACTTATTTTTTTTTAAAGTTAATGATAATAATTATCATAAGCTTAAAAAAAATGTATTTAAAGTAAATTCTCAAATAGTTATTATCTGAGAATTCACTTTAAATGTTATTCTATAATATTTTTTGATTGGGAGATGTCATCAATTTTGTATTATGTTTATTTATTCTCTACTTATAAAGTTTATTAAAATAATGTACTCGAGTTGCAACTATAAAATAAAATAAAACATAATTCAACACAATAAATATAATTAATACAAATTAACATTGAATATTATGGTAATAATAATTACACAAAATCATTAACTATTTAGAGGAAAAAAATGATCACAGAATTTTTATGTATATGAGCCGTCATAAGGCTAACATTGTATATAGCAACTATCAACAGAGCCAAAAATAATATTTGTATCATGATTGTTTTGACCTGCCGTTAACTTCACGAGAATTCATCCTCTGCATTAATGGTTTTTGAATATATGGTGATTGTGGTATTGTGGAATTTGATACTATAGAGGTAGTGTTCTTTACTGCCATATTGATAGCTTGACTTGTAGCTTGTTCAAGTCCTTTTTGAAGGAATACTTCATAACTTGGTTTCATAAACTGTAAATACCATTGAAATTTTATATTATATGTACATACATAGTTTATCGTTAAAATATAAAAAGTTTAATTACATTATCCCAAGTAATATTAGCTACATCATCAATAGTTTGACCAATTTCTGTGTATTCACCACTGTATCTAATATAAGCCCAGAGTATGAGAATAAGTAATGTAATTCCCATAATCAAATTAATACAACTAGCAACTGAATATACACCCAAAAAGTTAAATATGCCAGATATAAAGTAACAGATAACAGCAATGGCAAAGAACACAGCAGGTGTACGGGCTGATTTGAATATATTTTTACTTTCATTATGAGATTTAAATTGTAAATATTCTTCATCAATATCCTAAAATAAAATTTTCGATTATTAATATAAAAAATTATAAATTAAATAAAACTTAGTTCTTACAGTTTCTAATTTAGTTTTATAAGATTCTGAAAATTCATCACCGCCCATTTTTCTTTTAAACATGAACTGTTCCAACGCTAATTCTTTGTTTTTGAAATGCTCATCATCAAGAGAGTTTGTATTTAAATAAGGTTTGTTACCACCACAAACACTTTCCATCATTTGATGGTACAATTCTCGAGCTGAAGCTACAGCAGATAAATTGTTGGCTTCAGCTGTAGCCTAATTATTATAAATTTGTTAGAAAAAATCATTCTACAAATCTAGGAAATATTAATACTTACAACAAGCATTGATTTAGGTTCAGGTAATTCATCTCCTGTAAATAAATTTATATAGGATTTGAAGTACTGTACTAATTCCTTAGACTTTACTTTTTGTCCACTTATTTCTTTTAGAATCAAATTATCAGGGTTTAACAACATAGGTACTAGCATTTGCAGATTTAATTTAAATTCAGTTTCAATCTCTAAAGAAAATATTATGATAAAATGAAATGAAATAGTATAATTTATAAAAATATATATTAATTTAATTTGCCTGATAGTCGGCCATCAAAATTGGGATTTGTAGCAACTTTCAAACCAGGATGTGGCATTAAAAAACAACTTATTTCAGTAAAACAAGATTGTATATGTTTTCTAAGGGACTGAAGTTCTGGGTGTTGTTTATCTGATATCTGTAGTCTTCTTTGTAACATTTTTTGTCCACCATCAGCTCCATACTCCGCTTCATATGGAAAACTCCAATCTCTTACAAGAAATTGTAATTTTTGAAAAGGCTTTTTACCAGTGTCTTCCAATGCTAAGCGCCCATATTCCGTAAATAACTACAGTAATTACATCAACACAACTCAAAGTATAATAAAAATAAAGTAAAAATGCAAACATACTTGTAAATGTTGAAGATCATCCTCTTGTATATTTTGAGATAAATTATAAATTTGAATAGAACTAAGCATAGTGCTTAATGCAAATACAGTTGCATTATCTTTAACAGTACTTTCACTATCAAATGTACCTTGAGTATCAAGAAGTATAATAGCTACTTTTTCACCATTTTGTAGAGTAGCTTTAAACACTTCTGACCACATAAGAATCCCAGTAGTATCTCTTTCTGAACCACCTCGCCAAGAAAATCCTTCTAACGGCATATCATCTGAACCAATCCAATGGCTATCTTCTTTAATAAGGTTCAAATGGTACTGTACATATTAAATAATAAAAATATAAATATAAATATAATAATATAAATAAATATGTATAAATAAATAAAATGGATAATTTCTTACAGTTGCTCTCATGTAACGAAGGAAGAAATCTAACAAGAATGACTTCCCTTTACGGAAGGCTCCAGCAACTGAAACAACAACAACATTTCTATCTTTTACATCATCTTTTAAAAGGATTTTTTCAAGTGCTCCTTCATCTAATATAAATTGATGCTTTTCTTCAGCTATAACAATTGGCACTGCATGACCAGCTTCAATAGAATTATTTATTTCTTCCATTTTCTACAAATAAATTATTCAATAAATATGAGTACTAAGGATAGATTAAGTAATATAATTATTAATTAATAAATATTGAAGTACAAATATAGAAGCATGGTGTGGCCGAGCCGGTAACGTGGCAGTGCTTGATGCACACTGCCTCGGTTTCAAAACTCGGTCACTGGCGGTTTCATTTGCTGAACGAGATATCAGTTCGGTAATTGGAGTTGCTATCCTTCTCTCCAGCGATGGACTAACCACCTGTACTGGAGTATAAATGATTTAGAAACCTTCTCCTTTGGAGAGGCCGCTATTGCCTTTAATAGGCTTATAAAGCATTAAAAAAAAAAAAAAAAAAAATTGAAGTTAATTAATTTAATAATTTGGTAACCTGTCAAACTTTAATTAAACAACACAAATTATTATTAAGGATCTAAAAATTGAGACTACATTATACTTAAAGTTAAAATATATTAATGATACATCCAAAAACACAAACCAATATATATTTGAAAACAGCAACTTTTCAAGAAATTTTTTTTTTTTTTGTAATTTATATAATTAGATAATTTTTTAATTAAGGAGTCAGCCTGATCTAGTAAGTAAAAACATATATATTGACGCACGGGATCCCAGGTTCGATTACCAAGGTGACAACAATATTTTTCTTGTTGGTGATGTCTGGTCTCTGTTGCAAACTGGCCATAATACCTGTCCCGTCTATTATTGGCCTAACCAAGAACCATCTTCTGACTCCCTAACATGTGAAAGAGAATTTATTAGTAACCCAATCAAACCCAACCCCCACACTCAATAACATGTTAAGTTCGGGAAATAGAAGGATGTAAAACTGATCATTCAGATGATTTTTTAATTGAACATTTGTTTTATACCCAAGTATCTTTATTTTTTAATAAATATTTCTAAGAAGTATCAGTATTTTTACTATACATAATTTATTTATACTATAATGACTTTTACTTTGAGTGTTTTATTTTAAAATTAATTAGTTCTTATTTTTTAAATATTCAAATGCAATAATAAATTACAGTTAAAAATTTTTAATACTTATATCAAAAAAAATATATATTGACCAATTGTTTTTATCAACATAATGTGTGAAATACTATTTAATTACTTATAGCATATTAATACATAATAAGCAACCTTGTAATAGTCGAGGTCATGAAAANTACATTATACTTAAAGTTAAAATATATTAATGATACATCCAAAAACACAAACCAATATATATTTGAAAACAGCAACTTTTTAAGAAAATAACATGTGAAAGAGAATTTATTAGTAACCCAATCAAACCCAACCCTCACACTCAATAGCATGTTAAGTTTGGGAAATAGAAGGATGTAAAACTGATCATTCAGATGATTTTTTAATTGAACATTTGTTTTATACCCAAGTATCTTTATTTTTTAATAAATATTTCTAAGAAGTATTAGTATTTTTACTATACATAATTTATTTATACTATAATGACTTTTACTTTGAGTGTTTTATTTTAAAATTAATTAGTTCTTATTTTTTAAATATTCAAATGCAATAATAAATTACAGTTAAAAATTTTTAATACTTATATCAAAAAAAATATATATTGACCAATTGTTTTTATCAACATAATGTGTGAAATACTATTTAATTACTTATAGCATATTAATACATAATAAGCAACCTTGTAATAGTCGAGGTCATGAAAAAACATGACATATGTTGATTTTTTTGACTAACAAAAGAAAATTTATAGTAGAACAATGTCTACTATACTTAATTTACATACCTTACACTCAAATGAAAAAATGTATGAATAAAAAACAATAAAATTGTTATGGTAGCTAAATTTGTATATTTATAATTGAAACAAAATGTAAAAAACACCTAATAATAANGCTAAATTTGTATATTTACAATTGAAACAAAATGTAAAAAACACCTAATAATAATATATATAATAATTGAATAGGATAAATACAAATATCATGCTAGGTATACTGGTGACCTGGAAGTGATAACTTTCCAAATTAAAATTGGCTACTAGCATGATGGTATTTTAAGATTTCAGGAATACTTGCCAAATTTTAAACATACAGGGAACATATAAAATTTTTACATTAATGTAATATTAAGCTTTTTTTAAATTTTTATTACTTAATAATTACTTTGAAAAAAAAAACATTATTTATATTTGGAGTGTAATGCAATTAAAGGATTTGAACATTTGTTTTTAGAATTTTTTTTTAAAAACTTGAATTATGAATAAGAATTTATTAACTATTATAATATTATAACTTTAGATTCTTTTATTTTAGGGTGGCAGACTATACATAATATTATGAAAGTAAAATGTTAATTTTTTTTCTTAATTATGAAAACATATACTAAGAAAATTAACTATTTTAGAGGAGCCTGTGAAAATTAAACTGAAAGTAAAGTAACACTATTGGCATATGGATTTTAATAAATGTAAGAACCTAGAATTATGTAAGGTCAAAATTAGGTCATAATTACAAAACTTGAAATTAACATAAAGAAATGTAAAATAAGAAAAGTAATTTCGCAAATAAAATGCATGTGATATTTTATATAATGCAATTCTTTCATAGAAACAGCTTGAAATTTTCTGTTTATTACTATTTATTTTGACTTCAAATAGTCATCATATATAATTTTTGTTTAAGAAAAGCAATAAGATTTTAAAAGTTTATTGCCTTGAAAAAAAGAAATATTTTGGTAAAAATTAAACAATATTACATTGGATATTTTGTAAATAACCAAATGTATAAATCAAAATAAAATTTTAAGCAAAAGCAGGTCTAGAAATTGAAATAATTATGATTTTGGTAATTTTTCTAATATCCATTGAATTAAATCACCTATATCAATTTTTTTTCTATTACATGTTCAAAAGATGATAACAACAACCAAAAATATTATGAGATCGCTTTGAAACCTTAATTAAATTTAAAATTTGACTTAAAAATAATTTAAAAATCAAAATTCACCCAAAAAATATATTAGTTAATTTCAATTTTTAAATCTTATAAGTTTCTTAAAGAAAATTCAATATAGGTTAACTAACATACTAGATATAGCAAACATTTTCAAAGAATCATAATTTTGGTGCTTTTTTAAATATTTTAATATCTATGGTTTATTAAAATCTAATGTTAATATTCATCTTAGTACCTTGATTTGAAAACTGCAATAAACAATCATATAACTTTAAAATAGTTGCTAACTTATCAATAAAAAACTATAAATTTCAAAAACAAAAAATATAATTATTTTCTCTTATTATATCACTAATGGTTAACCACCACATTTCATTATTTGTTATAGCCAAAAATATTTTTTAATAATTTAAAATTACCTTACAAAACAAAAGGATAAAAACAATTATAAAGTTGAGACTTTTTACAAAAATAAATAAAAATGTAGAAAATATACATATGTGTATACTTCGAGATAATAATTATTTTTAAATAAAAGTAAAACGAATAAATGATGAAGACACTCAAAGTTATGGTAAAATGATACTTATTTTCTTTTAAGCCTGATTTCACATAGCCGTTTCTAAAATCAGTATTATTTAGTTAATAAATTAAATATTATAGTGGTAAATACCTAATAAATAATTCGTTAATGATAGTTGAAGCACGAGTGAAGTTAACGGCTGTTACAATTTTAATCTCTAATTAAAGGTAAATGTATTCTGATTGAGTAGGCTACAGAATAAAGAATTTTACCTACACTTATATAGTTTGCTGTCGTATAACACAAATTCAATTATTGAAAAGCAGAATACGTACACGAGTCACTTAATAGTCATTACACCGTCATCGGATGCCCACTTGTTTCAACGTATACCAGAATGTTTAGATACAAAAAATTATATCTTGCTCAAATAACTTGTTTATCGTTGTGACAGCAACTGATGCGCCTGCGCTTTGGACAATTTAACAATTATTGCGCGCTTAGACTCTTGGTTGACAACATGAATAATACATTGTCGTCATCGTTTATTATTTATTTTTAATAGCGCTATCTACCCGTAAAATGTTTTAAATATTATTGAAAATAAATAGTACTATTATAAGATTTTTCACGACTGGAAAAAACTAGCGGATCCAAGACCTCTAATTTCCATGTTATGATTTCTGTTATCAACAATGGTCTAGCTACACCACATGATCAAAGGATGATAATATGTGCTGATTTTCAAAAATAAATTACTCATATTATTATAAGTTATCTTACTTATTATTAGTTATTAACTAAGCTTATCAAACTTGTGATGCTAGATAAACATCCAAAGTATTTGTTATGTTCATATTTTAATTATGATAAATCTTTTATTACTTTAAAATCAATAAAAAAACATTTAAAAAGTCATCATCATGTTGATATAATTAATGAAACTTTTAATTTCAATAATAAAGAAGGTAATAAAAACAACATTTTCTTATCTTTAAAATACAGACTGAAAACTATTTTATTGAAATTCTAGAGCTTAAAAATTGGAAATTGTATATAAAACAAAGAACAATGTTAGTTTGTAAAAAAAACATATTAAATATATGATAATTGTTTAGACATTTTAGCTTCGATGCGAAGCTGAGAAGATATTAATTTTACTATGATGCGTTTTTTTTAATTTTTTTTTTATGTCTGTGAACGCTCAATCTCAGCTCTCGCTGGACCGATTTTGATAAACAATACGTCAAAAATCGGTAATATTCGACATTTTTTCAATTTTTTTTTTCTTATAACCACCATAATTTTTTTAAAAATTACCGAATCAATATAATTTTGTTTTACCATCGGTATTTACCTATCATCTGAAATATTTTTGTGAACATTTGACCCTTTACCAGTTCACAGAGAGGTTTTCAAAATGGAAACTATTTTAACTTAACTTTTGAAAATGTTCCGGATATACTGCGTTATTTAAACATATGTCAAATTAAAGTTTATGTTACGTAATATAAATTAAAGATTTAAAAAAAAAAACAAAATTTGTCCCGTCGACTTATCTTTTACGTGAAAATGGCTGCCGTAGTTAAAAAAAAATACTATTTTTGTGTTAAAATGTTCAACTTTAAATTGCTATAAGTTTTTGAAAATTGTATGTATCAACACAAATATTGGTTACTAAATACGAATATAACTCTTTCATACGACATTTTTTTTTAAATCGAGCAATTTTCCTTTATNCTATTGAAAAGTTTATGGATCCACACAATTTTTTTATGAAAAATAATATTTTTTAATAATCTTTTTTTCATTCGACATACTTTATCTTAATTAGGATATTAATAATGAACTAGCAGATCATGTAGCTTTTGGAATAATCCACCAATTTTTTAAAATTAAACACTATCTAAAGATTTGCATCGAAGCGTTTATTTTTGATAGTGATTTTAATCACTGTCAGATATCATTTACTTGATCCAACTATGCCACGTCACCACTGTGCCGCGACCCCCCTGTGCTGGGTTTTTTTTTTCTTATAACTACCATAATTTTTTTAAAAATTACCGAATCAATATAATTTTGTTTTACCATCGGTATTTACCTATCATCTGAAATATTTTTGTGAACATTTGACCCTTTACCAGTTCACAGAGAGGTTTTCAAAATGGAAACTATTTTAACTTAACTTTTGAAAATGTCCACAAGAAGAAATTTAAAATAGCAACTTTTTCACAAAAATCAACTTTTTCAACTTAACTTTTGAAAATGTTCCGGATATACTGCGTTATTTAAACATATGTCAAATTAAAGTTTATGTTACGTAATATAAATTAAAGATTTAAAAAAAAAAACAAAATTTGTCCCGTCGACTTATCTTCTACGTGAAAATGGCTGCCGTAGTTAAAAAAAAATACTATTTTTGTGTTAAAATGTTCAACTTTAAATTGCTATAAGTTTTTGAAAATTGTATGTATCAACACAAATATTGGTTACTAAATACGAATATAACTCTTTCATACGACATTTTTTTTTAAATCGAGCAATTTTCCTTTATACAACGGGTGTTCAAAATTTAAAACTTACGTATAAAAAGTAGAACTTTTTCAACTTAACTTTTAAAAATGTTCCGGAAATACTGCGTCCTTTAAACATATGTTTAATTAAAACTTATATTATGTACTATAAGTTAAAAGAAAATTTTCTATGTGCAAATGACCGTCAAAATTGAACATAATAGGTAATTTTCGAGAAAAAAAATCTAGGTTTTTTTGGTACTTAAAACTGCCATAACTTTTTGAAAAATAAACGAACCAAAATAATTTTTTTTATATAGACGTATTTCCTTTTCATTTGCACATAGCGAAGCGGGCAAAATATTTTTAAAACACAATAAACCAAATGCCCATCAGTCGGACTTGGTTAATATATCATGATACAAGGAATAAAATAAACTTAATGTTGTTTTTAATATATTTTTTTATGTTTTTGCCTAAAAAAAAATTCTAGTAAATTTATTAATTTGATTTGCTATAAAATACTTTTCATAGATATATTATGTTTATACATTATTCAAAAAAATAAGTTAATATTTATTGACTAATACTAATTTTAATAAAAAGAAAATAATTTTTTTTCATTCACTTATCTATTTTCTTTTGCTTATAATTTCTTAATAATTTAAAAGAAATTCAAGGTACATTACTTTATTTTTAAAGTGTGAAAGTATAAGAAATTGTTATACAATTTTTAATTTAACTATACGTATTTTTCATATATAAATACAAATTGAAGGTTACCCACCAATCCTTAATTACTGAACATGCCACTGCATACAATCGCAAAAAAAAAACAGTAGGGATTGTAGCACAGTGTGGATGTGGAAGAGTTGGGACAAGTATAGTTGAAATTTGTCAGTGATTAAAATCATTATCATAAGAAACGCTTCGATGAAAATCTGTAGATAATGTTTAATTTTAATAAATTGGTAAATTATATCAAAAGCAAAATTATCTTATATTTTCTTATTTATATCCTGATTACAAGTTTATATACATAATAATGATTATATAATATATATAATGATGTATAAGTGTAATAGGTTGTATATGATTATATATTTAATAATTTTTTTCATTTGCACATAGAAAATAGGACATTGGGAAATTTTTTTTTTTGAAATATAATGATGAATAAGCAACATAATAATAAATTATAATTAATAATTATAAATGACAACAGACATAAAAAAAAAAACACATTATAGTAAAATTAATACCTTCTCATCTAAGCTAAAAAATTATAAAATAATTTGATATTTAATTTTTTTAATAATAATGGTACAAGCAATAATTTAACAGTTATTAATCACATTAATAATTTTTTTTATTTAACATAAACTTATTTTTTATACACCCATGATAGAAAAACTTAATATCATTCATCATACAAATATAAATGTAGATAAATAATTACCTAAAAAAAAAACTAACAAGTAAAATAAATTTTTTTATATTTTTCATTAGTTCATATCAAAAGTTTAGCTATTTTAAAATTAGCTGAGTTTTATTTCTTCTAAAATATGAAATCATTGATTTGTATAAGAATAGAAAATTTCCTTTTTTTATTTCACCCTATCTATGTATTGAAAATTTTCAATTAAATTGTCAATTAAAACGAATAAATAATTCCGAGGAAAAGCGTATAGCACCTCCATGCTATATTCAGGAATACCTAGTGTATCATATAATTTGAGAAAACTATTTTAATTATTTAAATTACATAAATATAATGATTTTAATAAAACTTATACATTCCTTAAATTAATATCTTGACGTTTTTACTCCTTAATTTACATGTAATGGTTAATAATTTCCTTACATATTTATGTATAAGTTCATTATTGTGTGTTGATTCTTTATGACATGTTTGGAAAAGTTTGATATGAGTTTTATTTCTAAAATATGTTCTTTATATCGAGCACAAAATTTTGTGTTTTGACATAATAAAATTTTAACTACATTTTAATTTTAATGCATCACAATTGCTACAATGAAAATACATGAACAAAAAATGTAAAAAATTAATGTTTCTATGCATTTAAAGAACAATGATAATATTATTAAGACTATTGTACTGCTAAAACGTGAAAATTTTATTTGATCTTCAAAATCTAACACTTGTGCTTTAAGTAATAACCCATTTTCCTTTAATGAAACATAGAGAAAATTTTAGTTCCTTTATGTACAATTTCTTTTTACATTTATATTTATGTTATCTTAGCGATCTTCTTTATTCTGTTTTCTCCTTATAAATGAGAAGCTTGCCGCTGACAGTTGTATTGTGTAAAAAACAAACAATCTTGTTAAAATTTAATTGTAATTTTTTGACCCACGGAAGAAATCTTATTTTAGTGACATCGGAACTTGTATACAAATTAAAGATATATATCTTTAGTTTATATTCAATTTCGATACATATTTATCTGATAATCCTTTATATATCGTTAATATAAAAAAAAACAAATTATTTCTTTATTTTAAAAATTATTCAGTACGTGACTGTTATTAAGAATAATATTTTTTTATGTATTAAATGTTTTTGGTTCATTAGTCATAAGGATGATATCTCATGAATTTTTATAATATTATAGTGTTGAATTAGACAGTATATATATATATATATATAAAATTAAATAAACGTAATAAATAGCAAAAAGTTCAAAATAAAGTTATAATATCGAATTTACTAGAAAATTATTAAGAAATGATCTATAAAAAAAAATCTAATTATAAAAGGACATTGTAAGAAATAATTTTATTATTTTATAATTTTATAATTATTTTACACATAATTAAATATATTGTAAAATGTTTTACCAGTATAACTAAACAATTTTGATTGTGTTAAAATTTGTGTATATGAATCAGCTTTTATTGGATATTACTAAATATCTCTAA